CTTGTGGGGCAGGAGGAAGGATTGGTCTCCCTCCCCAGGGCCCTGGTGGAGGCGTGGGGGGGGAGGGGGGAGGCAGCATTTGGCAGCAGGTGCACAGACCCGGGTAGTGCCTCGTCGGTGTCCCTCTCCTCTCCAGCGTTCACGGAGTGCAGCCATTTCCTCTTGGAAGTCCTGAGGGAGTGGGGTAAGTTCCAGGGTCAGTCAGTGCTCTGTCATCCCGCCCCCCAACCGGGGTGCACGCATGTGTACACACGCTCTGAGCCAGGTCTGGTAAAGCATCGTAGGTGCTCTGCCCTCGGCCCTGCTTCTGAGGTGGGGGCTAGGGGTCTGTACAGGGACTGTAGCCTCCCCCGCCCCGGGCCTGGTCCCTCTGAGAGCTTCAGGTGTAGGGGAGAGCGAAGGGGCTGAGGGACCCTGAGCGCCTCACGTGATCCTGGTCCGCTCTGGCCTGTGGACAGGCCCTAGTGGCTGGGCTGCTGTCACCGTGCCCCCATTGGTCCGTCCTGTCTGCCAGACTGGCCCTCCCCGACCTGCCCCACCCTCCGCCACTACTGCCTCCGCTGCTGTGTTTGGGGCTTAAGTAACCTGCCCGCCTGCCCTTGTGGGGAAGCCTGGCTGAGGCAAGTGGGGTGGGGCAGCCCATTCAGTACCTGGCCGAGGCCGAGGAGGGGGTGCTTGCCCCAGACATGGAGTGGGTGGGGGAACTGGTAGTACTTGGGTTCTGCCTTTAGTAGCTAGACTGCCGTGAAGCTCCTTTGTTCCCGAGTCCACTTAGTCGGCCTGGGGCCACCAAGTCTGTAGGGGCTGAGGCTGGTAAGAGGACTAAGGCCCTCCTGCCCTCCTTGGAGGTGCTGAGGTCACATGGAGCCTCCTGGGAAGGGGTGAGGGAGTAGGATTTCCCAGGACCGACCCCTCAACAAGGGCCATGGGAATGTGAGCTGGGCTGACGTGTCCTGAGGGCCCAGGCCACCCCCTACCCCAATTACCCTGTGATGAGTTCCTCCAGATGGAGTCCAGGCTTTAGCTCCGCAGCTGGTTGAGTGCATGGGCAGCCCTGGAAAGGCGAGCCCCTCTCTGCCCAGCAGAGCTGCCTTGGGAAGGGAGGAGAAGGGAGGGGTGGGAGGAGAGGGCTTTGGACTTACCCTTCTGGATTTGAACCACAGCTTCACTGCTTACCAGCGTGTGCCTCTGAGCGAGTCACTTGGTCTCAGAATCCCTACTTCAGCTTTTCGTTTTTCTGGGAACTAAATAATAAAGCCCAGAACCTAGCCCCTAACTGGTGCTTAGCACCCTTGGCACCCTCCTCACCTCTGGGAGCACTGATGGAGTGATGATTGAAACCCAGGTGTACCCCACCTTCTGGGCCCTTTACAGCCCCAGTGGGCCGGTCCCCTGGAGGCCAGCCAGGCCTCTTCCGGGAGCCCAGAGAAACCTTCCTCTGCTTCTAGACCAGCCTTGCCTGAGGCCCTGTCTCATGTCCTTACTGGTGGCTGGTTCAGCTGCTTCCCAACTCCAGTTTGGTACCGGGCTGCTTAGCAGGAGGTGGGCTTGCTCAGTAACCT